TCATCATCTCCAATGGCCATGAAAGCCAATTGAGCAGATTGATCTTCCTCTTCAATTTCACCATCGGAATTGCATTCATTCCATGTGAATTGAAATTTGTTTATTCTTGATTTTCTTCCTTCTTTCTTCTTCATCACTGGACAGTCACTTGCATAGTGTCCAGGTTGGCCGCATTCAAAGCACTGATCAGTTTGCTTTTTGTTGAACTCTAGCTTCCCTTTGTTTCTCGAGTTGTTGAACTGATTTGGGAATGAATTGCTAGGTCCACCATTTCTGAATCTCCTCTTGTTGAGTATTCGTTTGAAACTTTTTGTGATGAGAGCGATATCATTGTCATCACCTTCCACATCTTCTTCATCTAGGGATGCAGAATTATCTTCATCTTGTGAGGCTTTTAGAGCAATATTCTTTCGCACTTTTGCATCCTCTTCCTCTTGCACCTTAGTCTTAAGTTTCAGCTCATAAGAGGTAAGAGAATTAATAAGAGATTCAATAGGCATAGTATTCAAATCTCTAGCCTCCTCAATAGCAGTCACTTTATTTTCCCAATCATTGGACAAGGCATTCAGGATTTTTCTATTTTTCTCACCAAGAGAATATTCTTTTTCCAGCACCTCTAAATCTTTAATGAGATCATTGAATCTACAATACATTTGATCAACATTTTCATGAGGTTTCATCTTGAAAGATTCATACTTTGTAACTAGAATGGACTTCTTTTGTTCTCTAACATTCTCACCACCTTCATGAATTTCTTTCAGTTTGTCCCAAATTTTTTTAGCTAACTTGCAACCCTTGACTCTAATAGATTCATTTGAGTCTAATGCACAATATAACACATTCATGGCTTTTGCATTTAAGGTGAGATGAACTCTATCCACAGCAGTCAGTTCACTTCTTGTTTTCAGTCTAGATGCATGAGTATTTTCATCTATAAGAGAGGCATCATATGGACCTTCACTAATAATAAACCACAATTCGATATCAATAGATTGCAAAAAGATAATCATTCTTTCTTTCCAACTCATATAATTTGACCCATTAAACACAGGTGGTCTAATAACAGAATGTCCTTCAAAAAACATAGCATTATTGGTTGTCATCTTTACTCCAAAGCCGATTGAGCTTAATCTCTAGGAGACCAAGCTCTGATACCAATTGTAAGGCCCAAAACAACCAATTCAAAGATCATAAACGAAACAATAAGTAAATAAAAAGGAAAGGATTGCAAACCAATTAACTACCCAACTCCTCTTGAGCTTGTAGATTAATTGAAACAAGCTACTTCAAGTTGATGAATTACAATCACTCTTGTGTATAAAGGAAGGTTTACCTCCTCCTTGCCCCAAGCAGCACTCGGTCAAGCCAGGACGTTTTACTATCCCTCAGGACAACCCTCACAGAGCTACACTCATGAAAGATTCACTCACAAATGAAAAGCTTACAATGAACCTCACACCACTAAGACTACAAATATTCTTTTTGGAGTATTTTCTCACTAAAATCTCTCTAGATCTTTTGTATCTTCAGTGTGCCAAAGTTTTTCGAAGTATCTGACCAACTACTATTTATATAGGACCAAGAAAGAGCCTCATTAAAGCTTCCAACGGATAGAAAGTAGCTGAACAGTCAACTAGCCGTTGGTAGTGTCGGACGTCCGATAGCCCTATTTTATGCGTCCGACAGCAGGCAGTGAGTTTCAGAAATTTTCTTCAATTCTTTCGGACGTCCGGTGCAAGCTCTTTATGCGTCCGACAGCAAACAAACAGATTTGAGAAATTATCTTGTATCTATCGGACGTCCGGTAGAGACATATTCAGCGTCCGATAGGTCCGATAGTTTCGTCGACTTCGAAGGATCCTATCGGACGTCCGAAGCATGCGTCCGAAGTTGTGCAATAATTATCGGACGTCCGATCCTGACATCTTGAGCGTCCGACAGATTCAGCAAACTTTGTCATCTTTCAATTGTACTTGATCATGGAATCAAATAACTTCATAACTGAAAATATATCTTGAAAAAACATTAGTATCATCCATTTGTTTTGTAAACATCAAAAGATAGGGATCAAGATCAACAATCTCCCCCTTTTTGATGATGACAAAACAATCTCCCCCTTTTTCAAATTGATTGCCTGAAAGTTAGAAAAAGACAAATGCTTCAAAGCTTATTTGAAGTGAGTTTCAATGTGGAAAAGGTCATTTTGGGTGATTCTTTATCAGTTTTATAAATTTAAAAGACTAATAAACTTTGCTGTGACAATTAAGAGAACATAAGAAATTGTCAATTTTTTAATAAAATTATATTCTCTTCCCCGAGGATAGGGATTGACATTGTTATAAAATGCTACACGTAGGGAAGTCAATGATAATTTTTTAAAGTTCAGAGGCACTAAGAAAAAGATAAGAATTTTATGAAATTATCCCTAAATTTATTATTTTTGTTGGACTGAATTTACTCAAGTTAGGACTGAATTGACAACTATGATTGCTCTAACTCAAGAAATTTGCACCCTTGACTCTTGTTGTTTGCACCTAATCACATGTTTCACAAGGTCATCAGCTGGTGGAGGTAACGGAATTTTAAACCCAAAAACTTGTAGACAATGAATTCGTTTTCGTGTCAAGTGTAAGAAATCTACGGACTACCAGTAAGATATCATATACATCAGGAATATACTAGCACCATTTTAGCTGGTTACATTTACGTGAAAGCAACTATTTACTTCTGAAGGTGGTTCGATGCTGGCAGGAAAACATTTCAAATTAAATATGCAACTGATATCTTATGCGAGATGATGCTTTAGTAGGAGAAAGGATTAAACCAAAGTACCAAAGCATGGTGGACAAACGCTCAGAAACATATACATGATCGAAGTCTCTGCATAAAAAAGTCTCTTGTGATAAACTTAATATGCAAAAAAATCTCCGTAATTTCAAAACATACAAAATGACATTTCATGTTTTGAATTAAATTGTAAAGGTGACGGAATCCATTAAAATTAACAGAAATGACTTATTGGAATCTAAAAACAAATTTTTTATATCTAATTTTTAATAAATATACCTGATTTACCTGTTAGCTCCCAATTCTCTCTTTCTAGAAAATGAAACAAATAATTTTGTTGAGTTGCCTTTTGCTTAGTTATATCAGGGCATTTTGTCATTTCGTCCGTCCCCGTTAATTTTAACGGATTCCATTACCTTTATAATTTAGTTCAAAATATAAGGTATCGTATTGTACATTTTGAAACTACGGGGCCTTTTCTATATATTAAATTTACCACAGGGAATTTTTGCTTTTTACTCTTAAAAATTAAGTTGTACGTATGTGTATATGTATGTACGAATATATATATATATATATATATGAATATATTTATATATTATTTATAATTTTTTGGGTGTAAAACCGAAAATACCTCATTTAATCTGGTCCGTAATAGAGAATATCATGCATATAAATATTAGGAGAATTTTAAAAATCTTAAATCACCAAATATGCATCTAAATTACGACGTTCTTAAATGATCAAACTAGATTCTCACTTAGTCAAGACATTATGGTTTCACAGTGTAGCCGGCTGAATTATCATAGGTGTTATGCTCATTTGCTTACTAGTTTCCTGGGCTTTTAAAAAACTGTACATTCAGTTAAGAAGCTAATTGGTGGTTTAGCAATTAGTTAAGATACTTATCAAACTTAAACTACCATAGATATATAGTATGGATAAAATACACTTTACCACCTGTGATTTAGCAATTTTTCATATAACCCATTATAGTTTTAAAAATTATATATAACCCCCTCATATTTTGGATTAAAGTGTCAAAGTGATGGAAATGATCATTTGTAACAGAACCTATGAAAATGTCGAAATTATCCTTGTCTAAAAATTAAAATTGTTGAAGTGACTAAAATATATAAATATAATATGCATGACACTCTAGCCATGTATGATTTTATATTTTATCATATAACCCCCTTATGGTTTTCAAAATATATACATAACCATCTTGTGGTTAATAAATAGTTTATTTCATCTTTACATAGGAGTATTTTTGATATTTTAGTTGACTCCGTTATGAAATGCAAATTTCATCACTTTGACACTTTAATCCAAATTATGTGGAAGTTACATATAACTTTTAAAATCATAGGGGGTTATATCAAAAAGCACTAAACCACACTAAGGTAAAGTGTAATTTGCCCTATATAGTATCGACATATAAATCCCATATTGAGGCCTCTTCACACCACGAAAGACTAAGGCCCTGTTTGGCAAGCGAGTTTTTTGGTTGTTTGTCTAAAACTTTACTATAGTTTACTGTAGAAGTTATATAAAAAATTTTTGAAGTGTGTAAATTTTTGAATATTTCGAAGTGTATAGTTTAAAAACTTTGAGAAGTTTTTTAAAGTTACTGTAGTTCAAGTTATTAAAAAACTTGTAGCAAACAAATTTAGCCAAAAACTTGCTTGATAGAGTGACCCTATGGAAATTATTCCACTAAAAAGAAAACGACAGCACAACCATAAATTTTAAAAGGACATTCTATATACACTAATTACCAATAATGATGTTGGGAAAGCAAATCATAAACTTCAAACACTTTAATTCAAAAGTCCAACAATAAAAAAGCTTTGGGATGCTTGATGAGTGCGACTGATGTTGTTTTTTATTTTTTAAAAAATAATTATGATTATTTTTTAGTATAATTTGATTATTATGATTAGCACGGTTAAGATAACAAATCATCAAAAACAATATTTTTCTGCAAAATGTCGGAACTACCTAAAACAAGTTTCCAGTGCAAAAGATCCAAGATCTAGAATGCAAGATAAAGTCTGGTCATGTTAGGCTAATTCAAGCACATGGCAAAAACTCCGATTTTTTACAACAAGAAAAAAGAATGGATTTCTAGAGCTAACGAAGTAATATGTTACTTCCCTTTTCTTTGCAGCCAAAAAACTATAAAATGAGGCTTACAAATCATCAAAATATTAGGAAAAGCTTTCAACAAAAGCAATTCGGGTGATTTCAACTTGGATAATCAAAGTGTCTTCTACAAGGAAGCCTTTGGAAGCATCTTCAATATCATTTAGAGACATAAAGAAAGGCCAAGCCCAGTTTGTGCTTGAAGCAGATAACATATGATTGGCTGCCCAAAACAAAAGTAAAATAGTCCTTGGAATAATCAAACAACATGCATGTATGTGTCCTAAGCAACTAAATCTCTAGATAACATTATGTACACGAGCTATATTCACCTGTTCTTTTACAGTCCTTTCCATTCTTTTCGGATTTTAAGCATATCATGTATTCGGCATATATTCTAGCTGCAGCTTCCCGGTCATGGAATTCCAGATAGAGGGAAACACTTTTGCCTTCCCGGTCACCATAACCCTCTAGATAAAGTTTTAACTTCCTAGATCATATGATACTGTTAGGAAATAGCAATAACTACAACTACAGAAAATGGTTTTGGCGTGAAGGTTCACTTTCCTTAAAGAAATTTGCCCCCACTATTTTACTACCGGGTTTGTGGCAATTCCCTATATGAATAACAAAGTCAACTAGAATTTCCACACAATAGTATGCAGAAATTCTCACAAAACAGTTTAGAGAATATTGTTTTGAACGAAGTAGAAAAATAGTAAAACCAAAGTAAAAGTGAGTTTTCGGATATCTGATCACTCTTATTTATAACATTTAGATATCCCAAAAGAAATGTCATGCCTTTTAGAAACATATTTCTTCATAAATATGCACTTTTTAAATATGAATGTACACTTAACGGTTGTATGAGTTGTATCATTAGATACAACGCATAAAAGGAAACCGTTTATTTGAAAAGAAATATTAAAACGAATTCATAACCTCTTCCATTCTTCATACACTTTCAATATGGAATTCATCACTAACTATTGCGAATAGAAATGCCGTGTTGTATGTTGTCAGAAACCAGTTTTCATCCATAACATGATATTTGTAATTGATGTTTTTTTAGTCGAATCCATACCATTTGCAATCTCCTATGATGAAAACATCAGAAGAGATTTTACTGCATAAAGTAGAATAATTACTTACACGCCAAGTGTAAGTGGTATCACTAAGTTTCTGTGGCAAAACTGTGCGCTCTCCTTTGGCATATTTATTAACCAAAATCTCAACTCCAAACACAGATTTAGCATTGAAAAGGTATCCTTGAGTAGTGTCTTCGAAATCACTGCGTGAAAGAAATCGGGCAAAGCCCCATTCTTTCTTCAGTTCATGAAATCGGCTCAATTTTCCACGGGCATCTAAATGAACAAAACAAAACGATTAGTAATGTAAGCAGTAAGCACAATTCTAATTGTCTAAGAAAAAATGTGTTCAAGCATATATATATATATATATATACACACACACACACATATATGTGGAAGTAGGAAATAGTCCAGAAACCTAGAAGAAGAAAACCTCTGAAAATGACATACTTGTCTCCAAGCAATTTATAGCATGGTTCGCCATCGCGGGTCACGGTCGCGTCGCGGTCTCGGTTGTTCCACATCCGTCGCGGCATATCGGTTGAATATCGGGTGATACGCACATTATAACATATGAAAATTTCTAAAAATTTTGAAAAAATTACTAAAATTAGAAATTACTAAAAAATGCACAATTTAAAAAAATATCCGAGTCATAAACTTCTCTCTAATTTGAAAGCCTCTCTCTCTATTTTGAGAGCCCCTCTCCTGCGAATAGGAGATTCCAAAATTTGAATGTTAGTGGCAACCCAAAATAGAAAGAACATTTGAACTTTCAAACCCAACAATAGTGACCTTTCAACTTCCCTACAATTGAAACACCCAAAAATAGAAACAGTAATTCAATCTTCGAGCTAAATCCTCTGTTCTCAAATGTGAAAGAAGCCATGATCCTGAGAACTGTGGAAGGCTGATACCCACAGAGGGTGTTTGTGTGTATAGCTGAGACTGTGTGTGCTAGCTAGAGGGTTTCTAAGGTTTGGTAGCACAGTTTGTTAGGTTTTCTGAACTTTTCCTTACATAGTGTTCTTCTACTCTGTCTTGCAGGTTTAATCGATTGGAGCTTCTAAGAAGGGAAATAGTGCAAAGGTAGAACCAATGTAGCTGGGATTCTGGAGGATGGAGGAAGAATTAACTCGAGCTTTTAGCAAGTTTGAGCTCTCTAAGTCGGAGCTGGAGGGTGTGGACCTCTGCTCTAATGATATAAGAGAGGGGGTCCAGGATTGTAGCAGAAGCTTAGTTGGAAGGTTGATAGGAGAAAAAGTGGCAAATTTCACTGGGGTAAAAAACTTTACCAGTCATGTTTGGGGGTATTCGAGAAATATGGTTGTAACTGAGTTAGGACCAAACCTTTTCAATTCCAGCTAGAAAAGGAGGATGACCGTGGAAAAATTCTGATGGGAGGGCCGTGGATAATGGATAATCAGATTCTAGTGATTAAAGAATGGGAAGTTAGGTGTGAAAGAAATCTCAACCACTTTAGATTTGTGCACTTATGGGTACAAATCTGGAATCTTCCAGTCCACCGGATATGTAGAACAGTGGGGTTCAAGTTAGGGAAACTATTTAGATCTACAAGGGAGGTAATCGTTCCACCAATGGGGGAAAGAAGGGAGGCATATGAAGATAATGGCTGAGATTGATGTTCTACAACCTCTTCTGAGAGGAACTCTAGTGAAGTTGGAGGGAGTGAATACTTGGGTGGAATTTAAATACGAGCGATGCTCGGATTTTTGTTACAATTGTGGGATAATAGGTCATGGGGACAAGTCATCCACTGGAGAAAGGAGTGAAGGGTAGTCTAGTAGGGAAGGTCAGTATAGGGCCTGGATGAGAGCGGGGAACATAATGGTATCCCCTTTGAGAGCTTGGAAAACGACTGGCACAGAAGCAAATCAGAGAGATATGGTGATATCATCGGTAAGCAAAGTGTTTGGAACAAGCGTTGGGACAACTGCTGAAAAAGGGCCTGGGGTTATGGTTGAAATGAGCAGTAGAAGGGGCGACAAGGAGGGAAAGGATAGCGATCAGAAGAAAGCAGTAATTGAGGAAAAGTGGAGAGAGATTCTGAGAGAAAGTAAAGAGCTGGAAAAAAGAGTGGAGAAAGGGGAAACGAATGGGGAAAAAACACAGAGGGAAGTGGGATTGAAGAAAAGGAAAATATAGAAATTAGCAAGGTAACTGTGGATCTGAGAAAAAGTATGATCAGGAATGAAGGTCATCAAGTAGATGGCATAGTTATAGAAGAAATAACTGAAAGAGAGTCGATAGACACATTTGAAAAGAGAAGCATGATGGTCCCTGAGCGTGATGCTAGGAATGAATTGTGTCAGTCTCTAGTCAGTGGAGGCAAACAAGGTGAAAAGAAAAATGGTGGAGGAGCTTGCGAACTAAAATGGTACTATTAAGAGAAATAACTGATAGAGGAAATCTGAGGATTCTTGGAGAGAAAAGGAAAATCCAGGAAGCTAGACAGGATATGGACATCATGGAAGAGGACATAGTAAAAGGTCCAAAACACAAGCTGTTAAAAGAGGACATAACTGCTGCTCAGCATGGAGGGGAATTGGAGGCTAGCCCCGCAATGCCTCCACTTACCCAATGAAGGTGGCAGCGTGGAATTGTCGAGGTGCAGGAGGCCTCTCGACAATTCCCCAACTGAAGGAGGTACTTCACCTCCACTCTCCTAGCATAGTTTTCTTGAGTGAGACAAAAAAACCAGGAAAAATTTATGAAACAGGTACAAAAAAGGGTTAAGTTTGAGAATAGTTTTATAGTGAGCTCTAAGGGTAGAGCAGGGGGTTTAGCATTGTTTTGGAAGGAGGAAGTGATATTGCTGGATGTACAAGGTACTGATTGGTACATTGAAGCAAGGGTGGTAGACAAGGATACTAATGAGCACTGGTGGCTGATAGGAATTTATGCAAGTATGGAGGACAGTGTAAGAAAGCAACAATGGAAGACTAGGAATTTGAAGAATAATTTTAGGGAGATTGCATCACACATTATTATGCGGGTTACTCACTTCTGTAGTTGAGTGAAGGTGAATAGACGAGTCAAATGTGTTATGTTTGCTGTACAGGTAACTTTTGCTTAACTTGATATATGAGTGCTTGTGAAAAATTGGAAAAGTTTGTAAAGGTATTCCTTGTGTTTAAAAGAGTCAATTTGAATGATCAAATGTGTATATTTCTATATCTTGAATCTTTGTTTGTGGTATTTATTTGTATTGCTTGAGGGCAAACAATGGTACAAGTAGGGGGGAGTTGATAAGTGTATTAAATGCACCATATTTTCTGGGTATCTTAAGGAATTTTCAACCATTTTGTGATCAAAAGTTAGTGTTATATATGAGATTAGTGTTAAAGTTGATGTTTAAAAATGTTGATCAACGATCATGCTTTTGTCCCTCTTTTACTCATTTGGATGGTTAAATTTGTAGGAAAAGCGGCAAAAGGTGTGAAGAAAGAATGATTACCAAGATTGATGATGGAAAAGAGGTGTTAATGGACAAGGAATTTGGGGACAGGGAAAGAGACTACACGAGTTGAAGTGGTTTTATCTCTCTATTCTAGTCAGATTGCTTTTCCCCCATGTTTCCCTGACGTTTCACATATATGAGATTAGTCAATCCCCCTAATCTACCAACAGGATTGCAGAGGCCCCGTCCTGGGTCTAGACACGTGGCAGTCTAGGTATGGCCGAGCTGGGCCTCGGCCCCAGGCCCCTGGCAGCCGTCCCGGGCCGCGCTGCTGCTAGGGCTCCTGAAGGGGCAGGGGACCATTCCGCAGAAGTCGGAGGGAATCCCCCTTATCGCGGGATAAGGGCTATACCGGGCAAGTCCCGAAACATACGAAGGTCGGACTCCCTTAGCAGGTATGAAAGGTAACTCACACTAAGGAAAAAAGGTACGCTCACTATTGGCGAACAACTCTCGACTGTTTGCTCCCGTGAACTGGACTCACCGGAAAACTAACTTGACCGTCGGAGTGCCCTCGGGGACAACCCTCGGGCCCCCTTTGCTAGTTCATTCTTGTTTGTTTTGCAGGCTTGGAACCAGCTCTTCCATCAGCGCGCCGAGCTCGTCAGGTCAGCTCGGTCCAGGGAAGCTTAGCGCTTCTTCAGTTGGCGCCGTCTGTGGGAACGTAAGGTAATCAAGATTGTGTTGATGGCGAGAACGAGATCCAAGCGAACGATAGAGAGCACCGGCCCTAGAGGCGGTGAGGGATCCCGACGGATGGAGACTGGGGCAGACCCGGGCGCTGGGGGCTCAGCCCTGTCGGGAAAACGGAGGCAGCAGATTTTCCAGTTCGTGACGGAGAACCTCCCTATGCTGGAAGACATCATCCGGCAGGCGAAGGAGGGGGGCGAAGCCAGTGGCGCACAGACCTCCAAGGCAAAGGGGAAGGAGAAAGAACCACTCCCCGACCCCTCGGAGGATGAGTCACGCGATCAGCCCCTCAGAAGGAAACGGCCACGGACTCCCCCTCGGCCCCGAGCCTCGGTGGTCGGGGACAGGGAGAGGTACTCCCGCGACCGGTCCGCGGGGAGCCGTCCAAGAGACCCCTCCCCAAGGAAACCCACGCGGAATGGGCCCGAGCGTTCCCCTGCTCGGTCTGTCAAGAGCCGGCCGCGCGACCTCCCCCCGTGGAAACCTGTCCAAGACGAGTTCGAGCAGATCTTGCGGCCGCAGTTGTACCAGGACAACTACTCCACCTCGCCCTTCCCCCAGGAGATAGAGGATTATCCCCTACCCTGGAGGTTCAAGATCCCGAACATTGAGATGTATGATACTTCAACCGACCCGGAAGACCACCTCTCGATCTTCCTGACGCACATGCAGACCAAACAGCCGCGGATGAGATCCGCTGCAAGACCTTCCCCATGTTCTTAAAGGGGAAGGCTCGGCTCTGGTTCCAAGGCCTGGCCCCAGGGTCTATCCGGAATTTCCCTGAACTGGCCAGACAGTTCGTAGCCCAATTCGTTTCCTTGAAAACTTACTCGAAAAATGCGACCCACCTAATGGCTATCAGGCAGAGGCCTGACGAGTCCATGAGGAATTTCATGACCCGCTTCAACGCGGAGAGTCTACAAGTCAGGGACAAAGACGAAAAGGTGGTCATGGCCGCCTTCGTGAATGGGCTCAGGGTAAAGGAGCTCTTCTACAAGCTGGCCGAGAAGCCACCTAAAAATCTGGAGGAACTTCTGACCAGGGCGCACGCGGCCATTAATGCGGAGGAGGCAGGCCGTCTGAAAAAAGAGTCAGATCGGGAGCTCGAAAATCGGAAGGGACGGACAAACCCCCTAGAGGGCAAGGATGTTCCGACCAAGAAAAACGTCTTTGACCGGCTCTCGAGGGAGAAAGTCCCTGCTCCGCTGCCACTCCCGGAGAAAGGCTACACCCCTTTGACTCGGCCTAGGGCCCAGATCCTATCTGTCATGGAGGCGGAAGGCCTGGGAGGTCGGCCGCCCAAGGTGGGGACGCCTCGGAACAAGCGGAACCAGGACCGGTACTGCACCTTCCACCGCGATGTCGGACACGACACGGAGGGGTGCTGGGCCCTGCGGAAGGAGATCGAAGATCTGATCTAGTGAGGGTTCTTGGGGCGATTCGTGCGGCAAGGTTGCCCCGGCCAGAAGCCCGGGCACACCTACCGCACAGATCGGGGCGAAAGCCGGGGTCGCGACCGTCCTGAGAGGTGTGACGAGCGTCAGGGCCCCTCCCCCAAACAGGATACCCAGAACCTGGCTGGAGTGATAAACACCATCGTCGGGGGCCCCACCGGGGGGGACAGTCACACAGTTCGGAAGAACAGGCAACCTCCCCCCGAGGAGGATGACTCCCTGAAGCGGCTGCGCATGGACGAGGAGATCACTTTCGGACCAAGGGATGCGGTTCCCCTAGCGTCCGGAAACCATAAAGCCATCGTGATAGACATTGTCACCAACAACTATCGGGTGAAAAAGGTGTATGTCGACCAAGGGAGCGCGGTTGACATTATGTTCTATCGGGTGTTCAAGGAGCTCGGGTTGGAGGACGGACAGCTGACCCCAGTTCGGACACCACTGATGGGCTTCACCGGACCCCCTATCAATTCGGAGGGAATGATCACCCTGATGGTCACGATAGGGCAGGCCCCCAAATGCCGGACCATCCCTGTCAATTTCGTCGTGGTCAAGCAACATTCCCCGTACAACGTGTTCCTGGGTCGGCCTGTCTTGAACGCTCTCCGAGCTATCCCCTCAACGCTCCACCTAAGCGTCAAATTCCCCATTCCGGGAGGAATAGCCGAGGTGCGCGGTGATCCGGAGGTGGCCCGAGCTTGCTACCTGGCCATGCTTCAAGGACGGGAGATGGTGGTCGCCCAGACGACCTGCCTGGAGCCCTACATTTCAGGGGAGGAAGCTCGGCAGTTGGGCACTCAGGACGAGATAGAGGAGTTCCCCTTGAAGGAGGACCGGCCCGACCAGGTGATCCGCATCGGCTCGCTGCTATCCCTTGAGCAGAAGGAGGGTTTGAAAGCCCTGTTAAGGGAATACTCACAGGTCTTCGCCTGAACGGTTGAGGACATGCCGGGGATTCCAACCGACCTGGCCGTCCACCACCTCAACGTGGATCCTCGCATCAAGCCGGTAAAGCAAAGGAGAAGGAGTTTCGCCCCAGAAAGGAATGAGGTGATCAAGAAAGAGGTCGGGAAACTGCTGGAGTCTAAGATCATCCTGGAGGTCTACTACCCGACCTGGTTGGCCAACCCGGTATTGGTTAAGAAGGAGGACCAGACCTGGAGGATGTACGTGGACTTCACGGATTTCAACAAAACTTGCCCAAAGGACTGCTTTCCTCTATCGAGAATCGACAGGTTAGTAGATTCTACTGTGGGATTTGATGTTTTGTGCTTTCTGGATGCCTTTAAGGGGTACCACCAGATAGAGATGGCTGAGGAGGACCGGGAAAAGACCTCCTTCATCACAGAGGAAGGAACCTACTGCTACCGGACTATACCGTTTGGCTTGAAGAACGCGGGAGCTACCTACCAGCGCTTGGTCAACAAACTGTTCCAAAATCAGATCGGCAGAAGCATGGAGGTCTACGTGGATGACATGATCGTCAAGAGCCGGACTGATCAGCAGCTCGTCCCCGACCTGAGGGAAATCTTGGGCATCCTGCGGGAGAGCCGGATGCGGCTGAATCCGAAAAAATGTACCTTCGGTGTCAGGTCGGGAAGGTTCCTGGGATTTCTGGTGTCTCGGACGGGATCCGGGCCAACCCGGATAAGCTCCAAGCTATCACGGACATGGCCCCCCCAAGGAGCGTGAAGGAGGTCCAGCGGCTCACAGGAAGGATGGCCGCCCTGAACAGATTCCTCTCGCGCTCCGCGGTCCGGGGGCTGCCCTTCTTTCGCATGCTAAAAGCGACTAAAGACTTCCAATGGACGGAGGAGTGCCAGAAAGCCTTCGCCGACCTCAAGGCATACTTAGCAGAGTTACCCACTCTGACCGCCCCGGAGCAGGGGGAAACCCTGTTCCTATACCTGTCTGCTTGCAACGAAGCCGTTAGCGCGGTCTTGGTGCGGGAGGACAGGGGGTTTCAGAGGCCGATATATTATGTCAACCGTGCTCTACAAGGGCCGGAGACGCGGTACACGCCGGCTGAAAAATTGGTCCTGGTTTTGATGCACGCTGCCCGAAAACTCCGACCTTATTTCCAGGCCCACAGCATCGTCGTCATGACCGACCAGCCCCTACCGCAGATACTCACCAAACCCGAAGTCTTGGGCAGGATGACCAAATGGGCCGTCGAGCTGGCCGAGCATGACATCGGCTATCAGCCTCGCACAGCCATCAAGGCCCAGGCCTTGGCAGACTTTCTTGCTGAGGGGGCCAGCTTGACCCTAACCGAGCTAAACCCTCTACGCGAGGATGTACGGCCGAAGGAGCCATGGGTGCTGTTCGTAGACGGGGCCTCCAGCAAGGAAGGAAGTGGAACAGGTCTGCTGCTCATCTCGCCAACCGGGGAAGAGCTGACCTATGCTCTCCGGTTTGACTTCCCCGCGTCTAACAATGAGGCTGAGTATGAGGCCCTATTGACGGGGTTGCGGATAGCCCACCAGATGGGTATAACCGCGATCAAAGTCCGGAGCGACTCTCAGCTCGTCGTCCTCCAAGTTCGCGGGGAATAGGAGGCCAAGTAGGAGGTCATGAAGAAATATCTGGCCAAGGTGCAGGAGGCAATAGCCCTGTTTGATACATTTGAAATCGAGCGGGTGCCAAGGTCGCAAAACAAGCGTGTAGACGCCCTGTCAAATCTGGCATCCTTCTCGTTTGCGCACCTGAACAAGGAAGTTTTGGTAGAGGTGGTAAAGCAGAAAAGTATCGACCAGGTCCAGGTCCTGGCTATAGACAGTTCGGCCACCTGGATGACCCCCCTCGTAAACTTTCTCAGCTCGGGTGCCCTCCCTGAGAACAAAACCGAGGCTCGCTGGATCCAGTTCAGAGCTGCCAAGTACGCCTACGCTGGTGTAAAGTCCATCATGAAGTCCGGCGCCGGTCATTGAGAACTTTCTGAGAATTTGACGTTTGGCCCTCAAACTTCGAACTCTTTGCACTTTATCCACCAAATTTCTCCAATTTGTTCAACCAATCCCTACAATAACAACACAACTTCCAATGAGTAGTTTTCTGTCCAATTCGAGTACATAAGATGCAAATATGACCCAAGATCTCAGATAAACTACATGTAATCTACTCCCTATCAATATCCCGCACTAAACCAGTGCTTGTCCTCAAACATAAGAACAAAATCAATGAAGTACAAACAATGGCTCTATTCAAGACTATTATTATTAAAACAACCATTCTAAGCAAGTGTCAAGTTCTAATAGTGAGAATCAAATAGATACTTCTTCGATTAGCTTTTAATACTATCGACCCTTTCAACTCTGGTTAACTAAATTAGGAATGTAAAATATTTAGCAAGCATTTCCTCACAAATGACCCAACAAAATCTCAGACATATAAGCACATGGATCCACAGGCTAATATTACCACATTTTTTCTCCTTTTTTTTCTTTTTTTCTTCAAATTCCCCCACACTTAAGTTTTTTTTCAAATTTTAACAAGAAAAATACACTTAGTTCTCAGTCGTTCAAGTCTTTTGACGCAAACTCCCACATGTCCCAAATGCAAGAGCCTAGTTATTCAACTTTTACCACTAAAGAATCCCATACTCATAACTATCGACACTTTTTGACGTGAAAGTCGATACTTTTAGGTAAAGACCCCTAGTTACTAGGCAACGACAACTAGCGGAGTATAGTTAAATTAATGAAAAAAGCATATGAGTACAAATAAGAACACAAAAGTCTGTTTCATATCCTAATAATATGGAGAACTAAGATTAATAATTAATCCAACTTCACAAAAAATGCTAGAAAAGTTAGCAAAAAATTGAAAAAGTCTCAAACTATCAAACATTCACTAAAGAAACACTCTAAAGCAACGCCATTAAACACTTAACACATTCATACAAATAAACTTTAACAATAATAGCTCTTGAAATATAAGCCATCGCCTACTAGGGAATAGACAACAATTTGTTCCCCCCCACATACTTAAGACAACATTGTCCGCAATGTTGGGGACAAAGCAAAGAAATAATACTGCGAGGAAGGGAAAGAACAAAGGAAAAGAATGTGTAACTTCCCTGTGAGGGTGATAGAGAGTAATCCACGAACAATGCACAACCAAGAGATACAATGAAAAAAGGCTGCTACAAAGTAGCCCTCCAACGCACCAAGAAACACTACAAATAGGAGTTAAACACCACTAAAAATCTGCTGGACAATCACCAACACTAGCGAAAAGAACTACTAACAAAGAGCTACTAAATGGAAACGAAAAAGGAAATTCAAGAGGGGCCCTGTCTATATGGGCGCCAACTGGCCAACTCCTCGTCAATGCTGGTCACGCGACCCTTCAATCGCTCCACCACTTCCCTTGTACCCCACACCTTAGCTAGCACCGTGTGAAGGAGATATTGAATGCTCAAGGCTTGAGCTTGATGCGATGACCTCTCTCCGGCTCCTATATTTGCTTTGTCTTGGCCTTCGAGATTCGCCTCCTCATCGCTATCATGCCCATCTGCATCCTTAGCATAGGCAATGTGATTGAGAGTAGATACAGTCAAATTGTGGCTCAAATGATATACCTCCCTAGCTTCCCCCTGAAAATCGATACCAAAATGTTGAAAAACCAGAGTTAGTAAGCGAGCATATGAAAATACCTTATCCTTATGGTTATAACGAGTGGTGTTGGTCATGGTGCCTAAAACGATAGTGGCTAAGGGTATCCCTGCTAGCTCACCTAAGCCATTCTCCAATTTGTCGATGAGATAGCAGTCCACCACTCGCATCACATTCTTGCTACTCGACGCAAACATAACATTATGATTAAGCAAGTAAACCAATAGACTACATCAAGCACTCAAGAAACTCATAGGCACATAGGAACGATCTTTCACTACCCACCACTCTCGCGAAATCTCCACCCATAGCAAAACTTATGCAGAGAAGTTTCAAACATCTATTCTGAATCATAAACAATCGATGTCTTCCTATGTTCGAAAGGTGGACCGTCATTTCTAGCACCTAAGAGATCAGTCAAAAATTGGCAATTAAAGGATGTTCGTTACCCTTTGACATAACTATCGACAATCAAAGTACTAAACTAGGTTTTATACTCCATATTAGCATAAAACTGACAACCCGAAGTAATACTCAACAGGCAGATTTAGCATTCTCTCCTAACCCACGGTAGCAAATAATTCACTGAAGTGATATTAGGTGTCAAAAGTATCATCCATATCAATTTCTACTAACACAGTATTATTAAACCTATCTAAGTACCATTACTCATTTTCCACATTAGAAAAGTGAATAGTGTCGAATGAGGGTTGACGCAAACTACCCTCATCTCTAGTAGATCTTACTCGCTTATGTGAGGCTCTTGTGTTGCTAGCATTTTTAATTCTAGGAGGCATCTTGTAAGTCCAAGGACACCAATTGGCAATATACCGTGGAGGAACACCACTATTACCAACTCCTACATGCGAGGTTAAAGCTAACCAAAGAGCACCAATAACCCACAATAGCAGTAGCACAATTTCAAAAACATTAATGGCACAAGGATAAGGGAGACGAACTACACCCCAACCACCACAACTATATCCAACAAAAATAGATTTTTACTGAATTAATTTAGCAACAAGAAAAGACGCACCAACACCGCAGATGAAACCAATTCAACCACAAAAGTCACACAAAATTCGGTCCAAAAATTTCCCAAAAATGTTCACACACTACACCAAGAACACACACTAAGAGAAACTTGCGATTTAGATGTAGCAAAAGGTTGTTTCTTGACTAAATTTAAGGAAAAACTTACTCCATATAGTATTGATGGCAAATGCCCTTTGAGTTGCACTCGTAATTTGCTCCAATTTGGCGAATTGCACTCCTAGGATTCCTTATTCAATTTCCAAAGTTGACGATGAAATCCCA